AATACATTTTGAATCAAATTTGTGTGAATTCTGGAGCCATGTCGTCTTTCCATACATCTTTATCTAAAAAAATGGTTAATGTGAAATGTCTATCTAAAATGTCAGTTTTAGGTTTGATATACATCATATATTGAACATTAGGTTTGCGTATTCTGCCCGCTATCGTGAGCGGCGCGGGTTAAACGTAATAAATACTCCGTTTAAGCCGCGCCGGCTTGAGGCAACCATGCTAAAAACATCTCAAATTATAGCGAAATGTTGAAATATCGAAAGAAACAAATTATACCAAAAACAATCATGTAAGCCAATGTAATATTTTGAACATTTTGTAAAATTCCAGCTGGCGATGAACGTGTTAAGATCTATTCGGTAAGTTTTCGTCTATAAGAGCGAAAAAGACCTTTTTTCCCTTATGAAAATCATTTCAGATATACAGATATCATTACGACATAGAAGTAATAGTAAACAAACTGAACTGAATTTGAAAAAGATTACAGTTACAGATTCACTCATCCTGATTTCTTTTAGTCATCCCGAGATTTCGCAACAATTGCACGCACGATCATAATGAAAAACCATGGAAACTAGATTTTAAGGGTTTTATCTTAAAGATCTATCATACCAACTCTCAAGATTTAGGCTGAGATTTATACAACATACTTAAATTTCGACTAAGCAAAAATGGCGGACTAAGCAAGTTTTTTGTATTTAAATTCTTAATATTCAATTATTTTTATGTGAAATTACTCCACTAGTTTGAATAAACTTTCGAACATTCGGAAAAAATTCCTTCGATCCGGCCGGATTCGAACTGACGTCTTCTAGCTTACCGTGCCAGACGCTATACCAACTAAGCCACGGAACGAACCAGCGAACCTCACGAATTTTGTATTAAAAAATATTTTGAAAAATTTTTGTATTTACAAAACGAAATTTTGCCAATTTTAAGCAAGAAATGAAATTAATTATTTCTTACGCAAAATTTTCGTTTCATATATGCGAAAAATTGGCTAAGCTCGCCATTTTTGCTTAGTCAAATTCAAAGTCGTTTTATAAATAACCTATCGGTAACCTATCACAAAGTCGAATTTTTTTTATCCAAAGTAACTTTTATTCTAATTATCATTACACAGAAAACCGAATTATAACGAAACAGTTGTTCTTTCAGGATATGTTGAATATTTAACGCAAAGACACGATTAGGTTCGGTCAGGTTAGGTTAAGTTGCCGCGGCGGCGCTTGGGCGCCTTATGCCAAATGTGGGGGGACCCAGCTTCCTATGTCGTCGGCTTTATGCTGGCGTCATACGGAGCATGGCCCTCTACGGGGCGCCCATCTGGGCGGAGGCCCTCACCACTAGACTGCGGCCGCTTCTGCGCAGGCCACAGAAACTAATGGCGGTGAGGGCGATTCGGGCGTACCGAACGGTCTCCGGAGCGGCGGCATGCGCCCTGGCTGGAACCGCACCCTGGGAGCTCCAGGCGTCCGTCCTCGAGCAGACCTACAGGTGCCGTGCGGAAGCCAGGGCACGTGGAGAGCGCCCCACACTAGAGGAGCTAGTGGGGGTTCGGCGTGCCGCCATGACCGCCGTCCAGGCGGGGTGGGAGGAGGCACTCCGGTCGGCCAGATACGGGGAGCGCACCGTCCAGGCGCTGCTCCCTGTACTGGCCGATTGGAGAAAGAGGAGGCACGGGTCCCTCACCTACCGTCTTGTTCAGGTACTCACCGGACACGGCTGTTTCGGTGACTACCTGCACAAGATCGCACGGAGGGAGGTGACCCCGGAGTGTCACGAGTGCGGCACTGCTACAGACTCGGCGAGGCACACCTTGGAGGTGTGCCCGACCTGGAGCCAGCAGCGCCGGGATCTCGTAGAGGAGGTGGGACGAGACCTCTCACTGCCCAGCATAGTTAGAGCCATGCTGGGAAGCGAGAGGTCATGGCAGGCGATGGCCTCCTTCTGCGAGGACGTGATGTCGCAGAAGGAGACAGCCGAACGGGTCCGCGAAGACAGCGCTCTCTCGGACCCCATTCGGCGTCGGCGGAGAGGACGCACGCGACGGCTCTTCGCCGACCGTCTGCGTCCCATTAGCGGAGGCCAGCAGGGTGCGGGGTTGGGAGACCCTGCCCCTGCATTGCACAGGCCTTCGCCGTCGGTAGATGCCCCAAATGTTCCGGGGCATCTCCGTGCAGGTAGCCCCCCATGATTAAGGGGGCGATGGTGTAGGGGTCCGCCCAAAGGCGGACCAGCACCACCGGAGTCGCGGTAGGTAGCATCTGAAAGGGACCCCGCGGCTCCGGCGCCAGGTGCGCGCAGGAACATCGTGAGGTTTTTAGTGGGTATGCTCTTGGGGATCGACATAGCCCCCAGGAGAGAGTCCCACATATATATATAATCCCATATATAATGCGTAACGCATTTTCCTCATGGTAATAAAAAAAAATAAAAAAAAGGTTAAGTTAGGTTTAAAAGAAAAAACATTTTCGTCTCAAAATTACTTTCCAGATTACGAAATTTCAACCAAACGTTATTTCTGGAAAATGTCATTTCAGACTACTGATAAGTAACCGTTAGGGCCTATGCACACGGCGTATTTTATACATACACGCGTTATACGTAACACATTACATACAGTTTGGCAGCAACTACGTGACTATTTAAAATTTTATGAAAAATGGCAACCCTGAAAATGTAATTTTACTCCGTCTTCAAACTCTATCACATTTATATTATGGTAATTTTAATCATAAAAGTAAATTTTACCACTTTACAAATGTTGCGGATTTGGAAAGGATTCGACCTCACGGGAGGCCCTTTAAAAGATAGCGTGACCATTTGACACTAAACTTGGCATTTATTTGCATTAAGGGAGGCCTTTGGGACCTAATGGGTTAGGAAAAACACACACATGCACACAGCTATAGTAGCAGTAGAGAGCTCCTTGCGAAGAGTTCGACCAGGGAAGTACTGCCACCTTACCGATTTTTGTTACCAAGCAGTATTGTTTGCATTACTGCATTCCGGTTTGGAAGGGTAACAGTGTTGGAGAAATTACAGGTACACGGACTTGAACACTTACATCTCAGTGTGACAGTGGCAGTGGCCCTAAGATCTACGCGATTTAAAGGTCTGGGTGGCACTGCAATAGTTACGAGAGGCGTTTCACTTACTTACCACCAGCGCACGAGTTGTTCGTTCCGTCACTTGGTATTGTAAAAACGCACAACCTTGACATTGTTATAGGGTAAAATGTTGACCTAAAAATCTATTCTATTCGAGTCTTTTTGTAGTTAAGTACTATAATTAGTCGATTTACATATAGGTAGGTACTGAGTACAAAAGTATTTACTTGAAACAGGAGGTCGAAATGTAGTTGTTATTCTTGTATGGTGGTTATTACACCCAAGGGCAAAATGAATTTGAGTCAAAATTGCACAAATAATTTTTAGGAGACTCATTACATTTTCATTCTTGATTGAAGGCCGTGTTAATTCTGAAAATAAAACCAAAATATTAATATTGTTATTTTACATACTAATGACAACAAAAACTGTTAATTTACTTATTGCCTTAAGGATAAAACGAGGTGAGTCACTAAATTGATTTAATTATGAAAAATATACGCTCTGGTCTGATATTAAGCGACAATGTATTGTGATCGACTTTGGTATGCATTTACCTACTAAATGCTTATCCACATAGCCTTTACACTCTTCTTGGTTATTTAATAAATGTATTGACGAAGATAGAGAAACGGATGCTTAGGAGGACGAATGAAAAATATATGACAAAACAGCAAGTTGGTAAGAGCACTTACCAAGACCAAATTGAGGAAGTCGTAAAGAAAAGCCAGGTCAAGAGTAGCACCCTTAACTGATGAGCTTGTTTGAAAGCGTTCATGTGTGTTGGTGAGGCTTAAGATATGTGTCAGGGCCGTAGTTATGTTAAGTGATCAAAAAATAGTGGGAAATTTTGGATTGAAATCGCCCGGATATTGCCAATTCCATTTCTTTTTCTTAGGTTAGTAGGACCTTAACTGACGTCTGTGTTAAATTTTGAGAAAAAAGCGTCAGTAGTTAATGAGATACGCTTGTTTTCAATTAACTACAAAATAGTATTTTTCAATTTTTCAGATTAGTGAAAGAGTTCAGCAAGGATGTTGCATTAAATCTTGGTCAAAAAATGATTTTTCGGCTTCTCAAACGTTGAAAAATTTTGATAAAGGCATTTGGTGACAATATTATATGTAAAACGCGTGTTTTTGATTGGTATAAATTGTTCAAAGAAGGCAGAGAACGCATTAAGGATGATCAACGCCCAGGTCGTCCTTCAACTTCTACCGACGAGAACCATGTCAAGCAGATCAAGGATTAGTGCTCAAAAATCATCGTTTGACAAGTGGAATCCTTGTTAACATCACTAACGTATCATTCGAATCAATTCAATCGATTTTGAAAGACCATTTGGGCCTCAGACGTGTCTCATCTCATTGGGTTCCGAAAAAACTAATTTTATTTTTAAAAGTGCGTCGTGTTAATGTTGGTTCGGCATTGGTTCTTCGTGCCTTTTTCATCAAAAATGGAACGCATATTATTCCGTAACCGCCCTATTCGCCTGACTTAGCTCAATCAGACTTCTGGCTATTTCCGAAACTTCAAAAACCACTTTGAGGACATCGATCTTTGACTCAATTGAAGAGATCAAAGCCATGTCGAAAAAGGTACTGAGGACCATTTCCGAAGTTGAGTATAACAACTCTTTTGAAAAATGGGAAAACCTTCAGCATAAGTGCATTGTATCTAAGGGGGAATACTTTGAAGGGGGACGATATAAATTTAGACGAATAAATGGACAGTCTGTGTTTTTGTTTCAAATTTTCGCTATATATTTATCACGGTGGAATATATATGTATGTAAATTTTACTTGATAATTTAATAAATCGGTACGGACATGCAAAGAGAAAGAGATGTATAAGGCTAGCGTGAGTGGTCAGGAAGATTCGAGCAAGGTGAATTTATCGCGACCAAATTGAGAACTTTCAAAGAAAAGGTCTGGTCTGGAATAAGCCTGTTTTAACCGACGTGCGTTTAGGAAAGCATTATTAATGCGCGTCGATAAAGCAAAAGATGTCTGTCAAGATCGCAACAAGTGAGAGGCTGTAGTCTCTGTCTGCGTCGATACATATAAACGTGTATCACTAACAGGTTCCCTACTACGATATAACTTTTTATTGTTCACCTGATCTAACCCGTGATAAAGAAGCATAAAACCGCTTTGAAATATTCATCAAGTAGGTCGAATCTAGAGAAGAATAAAATGGTATTTTTCGGACTTGTATTCACGAGCTAATTTGCGTGAGAATTTTTATTATTTAAATATTGAAGTACACATTGTCGTGTAATTATTAAATAATATTTCACGATGCAATACTCGAATATTACCGCCGTCAACTTACTAAAATGCTGCTAAGTGACAAGTGGTGATATCCGTTTTAAATAGCATAAGATAGAGCTCAAAATTGTCTATTTAAAAACAGTTAAAGTAAGTTAACGTGTCCGACTTATCGGAACTTACCTTAATGATGCATTGCTGAAATATTATTAAACAATTTCAATACCTATTCTAAAACTGAGTTACATTGACTTACAAATAAATGGACGACGGGTCTAATACAAAAACCACGAAAAAAATGTCCCAAGTCAACCTATTTGAACGTAGTGACATGTAAAGGAATATGAAAAAGCTAAAACGTTGAATTCAAATTGTAATGTCATCGCAGTACTGTCTAATTTTGCTTGCTTCGCTGTCAGAAGAAACAAACGAAGACTAAAGCGTGAATGACGCTCTGTATACGATTTTAACGCCCTATAAGTTCGGACACTTTTTAGCGCGGACCCGACGTCCATATAATTGTAAGTCAATGCTGAGTTACGATTTTTTTAAGAAATCTCAAAAAATGATTTTGTCAAATAACCGCGTTTTCGTTAGTTTAGCGGACCGCAGATTAAGGCTCAACTCACACTGGCGCGGAGTCGAAGCGTCGCGTCGTGTCCTGTTTTTCAACTACACCGCGCGACGACGCGCGACGACTCTCGATTCCATATTTGCAAAACACAAATTTGTACCTTAATAATGGGAAAATATAGATGAATATCCGCTCACGCGATACATGCAGCCGTAGACGCATACCACACCTAGAGGTGCCGGTGATGATTTTATACCGATTTATCGGATATCGAAGTTATAACAGGTAAAAGAACTAATATTAATTGCTATTTCGGTAACTACTCTAGCAAACCATAAAGTTTTTAATGCCTGGGTCTGTCATTTAAAAAATAAACATCTTCAAAAATACGTCACAACAATCGTGTGTGTTATTGTTTGGGCTGGTGATTTCGGTGTTTATTTATTGAAAACATACCGTAAGTAGCGTTTTTTAAGTTTACCCTGAATATAAATGTTTATAAACTATACTTTAAGGAGTAATTTCATGGTAAACGTTTGAACCACTCAAACGGAATATTATCATATTTATCCAAGTACAGCAAAAATTTCATTAGTGCTTTTAAGTGCAGGATTTGCGGTGTGTTACTGCATTTTATTTGAGATGTTTTTGTTGGTAGTGCGGAGGGTATTTATTTAGCAATGCAGAATAATAATTTTTATTTATAAAAACTTGTATTTAAACTGAATGCTTTCCTAATTTGCGAAACCAAATAGCCGCCATTTTGCGGTGGGAGGAGCGCATCGCGTGAGCGGATATGCTATAGGCGAAAAACATGACGCGTCTCGACGCTTCGACTCTGGGCCAGTGTGAGTTGAGCCTAAGTAATATTGCACGATAAAAAACCGAATACCTACTTAAATAATAAAATTTGCCTTGGACATTTGGTAGTGAACACTAGTCCGAGAATGACCGAAAAAGTATTCTTTTATTGTAAACCTGTACAACAAAGCGTTTAAATGCATTTTGAACATGAAATCAAATACGGCATTTAGTCAAAAATGATGGAATTGAGAAAACGCTATTTAAAAGTTAAAAAAAAACTGAATGAATCATAATTATAGTGAATAATGCGATTATTTTCGTTTACACATAGCAATTAGTGAGCCACTTTAATTAATTCAATAATGGTTCCACATGCGATTTATAGATTTTTCTTGGTTATTTAGTTAATGTAGTGACATGTGGTGGTTCGGAGATGTAAAGAAAATGAGTGAAAGAAGATTGACGTAACAGATTTATAAAGCCAATTTAAACGGGCAAGTTGGTAAGACCGGAGCAAGGCGAACTTACAAATACCAAATTATTGACATCCTAAACTTTTGACATATGTATCACATTAATATCAAATGATTGTTACTAATAACTGAATCTTTACAACAATGTATATTAATATTATTAAAATACATTAAAGTATTTAAATTGTTGTACCAACCTGGAATTTTCCTTAACAAACAGTGCGCTCAACATTGAAATGGTTGTTGCTCAAAGTGCGAGAATCGACTGACACATTTAATTAGTTCGATAGCCGAGAAGGAAATATTTTGTTTTATTATTGTATT